TGGCCGAGATCCGCTTCCTGGGCCTCAACTACAAGGTGCGACCCCAGCCGGGCTCCCCGGCCAGGGAGGTAGCCAGGTGTCAAACTGCCTTTGGGGTCATAGAATCATAGAACAGGATTGTAGAATCGTTTAGGCTGGAAAAGACCTTTAAGATCATGCATTCCAACCATTAGCCTGACACTACCAAGTCCACCACTAAACCAATTAAGGGGAGAGTAATAATTAATTTCATGTTTCCTGGCTTGGTGGCTGCATTATTTTATAATGAAAGTAAAACTAGAAAAGTAAAATAAGGTCATTCCTACCTGTTTACTTCTGACTCAATACTTTTACTTAAAATGTTAAATATTCCATCTATCGTCAGAATTCTTTATTCTCAGTAATATTTCATTTAATTGTCTATAGCACTGCTCTTCCTGTGCAGAATTGAGACCGCTTCCATAGGCAGCAGGTCATTAACCCTCATATCTTGCACAAATTAAGCACGGTCTGCCTTCTGCAGATTGGGGAACTGAGAGGTTGAGCAGCTTGTGACTAGCGGCAGAATCGCCAGCATGCCACGTTTCCGCTGCCAAACACGGCACGGGGTGAGCGGGTCTGGGCTCCTTCGCTGCCCGCTCGCTCGGGGGGTGCACGGTGGGTTTGGCAGCAGCAGCTGACAGGCTTGTGTTCCTCCTGCAGTACATGGTGCCGTTTCTGCTCAATCAAGGTGGATCTCTCCTCTTCTACCTCACCTTGGCATCTGCAGGTTAGTTCTTGTTGCTTTCATGGAGTGGGTCAGTTGGATTTTGGGAGGATCAGTGCTCTCACTCTAGTGACTCAGCTAAACACCAAGCAGCTGTCTGGTAATAATCACCAATAAAACAAGTGTCTTATGATTTCTACAAGATCATGCATGTTAAACTGTTTGTGTTAAAACTGTTCAATTTCAGATCTGTCCCTGGCAGTACTGCTCTGTAACTCCCTGGCTTTGATAGGCACGCTGGTGACTGGGAGGATTCTAGGAGAGGACATCGGTGGTAAAAGTAAGTTACGCTTAAAACATTTCCTCACATTGGCTCCTGCATCTGTTTGCTGACATAATAGTGCGGGCTACCCTCTGGTCTCCTGAAAAATAGCAAATACCCACACTAGTGAAGTCATAGCTCTTGCTACAGAAGCTGAAAAGGAAGTGAAACGGACTTGTAAGTGGGCAGGGCTGGTAAAGTTCAAGATAGAACTGGCTATCTAAGCTAACAGAGTTTACAGGCCTGAGCCTTTACCTAACTAGATATTTAACCATAAGAGCAGCACCAGATAATATGCCCACCATGGGAAAGGAATACCCCATAAGCCCCCAAATGTCAACACCCATCCTTCTTTCCTTTCCTTACATCCTACAACAACATTACCCTGCTCAGAAAGTCAGAAAATGGAGGAAACCTGAAAGCTTAAAAACACCAGGACCTGGCGCAGTAGCTGTAGGAATACACTGAGGTGGGTTTTTTTGTTGTTTAAGCCTGGTTCTCGCTGGCCAGCCGTAGAGCGTCAGCAACTTTTTCTTAGAAACATGCTTTGCCCAATGTACACGGGCAGACCAAACATCCAGCCCCCTTCAGAAGTCGCCTGGTCCAGGTCATGTCTAGCCAGACATTTATGCTATCCTATTCACCATGACATCAGAGCATCACGTATTTAGCGATGAGAAGAGCTGACTCGTGTTGAACTGTGTAAGTTCCCAACGTGTTACTGTTCATTTCTACAGGGGCTGTGGCAGGGATGCTGCTCACTGTCCTGGGGGAGCTGGCTCGTGAACGAGACGCAGCGAGAAGCAGAGGAAGAGGACCTGTTCAAAGGTAACCCCCGTGGCTGAAGGGGGGGCTTCTGGCTCAGCAGCAGACCGTTTGGCTCAGTTGGACCTAGGAAGCTGTATTTTGACAAACGGATGTCAAAAAACCTGAAAACGTGGACTATGTTCCCTGAGCACCAGGTGGAACAAGGCATGCTGCAAGGACATCCTATTTAATGTCTTGAGTTAAGGAATATTTTGCCCATGGGTGTTTCAAGGCAAGGATGATTGAATTGTCTTGTTCAGCACTGGAGGGATAGTAAATGGTTAATAAATCCTTCAACAGGAGCTTCTGGGACCAACTGTTTTTTCTGTAGAAGGCATCTATTTAGGAGCTCTCCCTTTCGTGGCTAAGCACATGGAAGGGTGTTTTTCTTTGCAGTGAAATTATCAGTTCAAAATCCCAGGTAGATCACAGAAGAAAAAAATCTTTGTTACCCTTGTAATTAATCAGGAACACTAGGGAGGAAAATACAGAAAGCCTTGCACAGAGAGGGTTAATACAAGAGCTGTTTATTACTGTGACTTCCTAAATCGGGCAGATGCTCCTAAAACAAGCTAACAAAAACAAGTTGTATATATTTTTGGGAACAAGTTTGATTGCTGTAAACATTATCCAAGCATTCCAAATCAGAGGCACAACGATGTGATGAAATCTCTTTATAAGTATCTGAGATAGAACAAACTTCCTGGCATGCATTTTGTTATAAAGGCATGTATTCTGTTTGGTAATTCTTCATTCCCAAGTTTAGACACAAACCAGTTTAATTAGAGTGCTGAAAAGCAGCCGTCTCCTCTGCCACATCATCACACTATAGAGATGAGGAAAGGGGGAAGATCTTCATTATTTAACGACACTGCACATCTGATTAATTGTTCACCGGTACTCTGCTTCTCCAGCCCAGATGGTGAGGGTGCTTGAATTCAGAAGAGTTTGTTAATTCCTCAAAAAGCTTGGCCAGTCTGTGGTGTTACACAAACCTAGGATTCACCTGCTTTTGTTGTCTGCAGCTGTGCAGATAGCCATGTACCCAACTGTCACTCTCCCATCATGGTCCCTTTGTGAACTCTTCAGAGCTCTTTGCTGCCCAGGGCAACATCACTCGGTGCTTTTCATCCTCAGAGTCGCTGGCATCCCTTTTCCTTGCCACAGTCTTCTGTGATTTCTCTCTAGTCCGTGCCTTTTTACAGCGAGAAAGAAATACCATTATTAATGTAGCACTTTGCTATTACAGAAAGATTCTGGGATCAAATTCCTGGATTCCGTTTCCAGACTTACCACGGCTTTGGTATGCAAACCTGGGTCTCTACATTAAATTCAAAGGTAGTTTATTTAATACCTAATGATTCTCTCCCACTGCAGAGGGGAGCTATGACACTCGGATAATGACAACGGTATAGCAGCGCGATCTGGGCGGGGGGAAGCCAACGGAAAGCATCGGCACCAGAGTGCCCACGCCATTGAGAAATGCCTGCCCGGCCTCTAAAGCAAACACGGGACGTCAGGCTCCCCAGTGAGCCAAGAAGTCAGGAACCATTAGTTAATTCTTTACTAGGGCTTTCTCCAATTTAAGTTCAAAGGAGTTGTTTTCCTTTGAAGTTCTAATTAATCCAAAGAGACTACCTAGGCAGAATTGTGAATCACCTACAATATAACGCGTGTCATCCCATTACATCAATTCTAAATGTCCTTATGAAAAGTTTAAAACATTAATATGCCACAAACAATAAGCATCTTGCAGACATTTTTTCACGCAGAATTTTGTTTTAAAAAGAACTGCTTTTTTCCCCCCTTTTAAAAAAGGATTTAAACTGGTTACTATCTAATAAATGCGTTTAGTCATTTTTATGAATTACATGTTTATTCTGTGCCAGCTTCTAAGCTTCACCTGGCTACAGGCAAGTTCTGCTTCACAAGATATATCTGGGGGTACTGCATTTTAGTGTAAGAAATCTGAACACAGCCAGGAAGGTCTTACACACTTCATAGAACCATTAAGTGGAATAAATACCTTACTGTGGTGTATCATTTTGGCTTTTGGTATAAGTTCTTCTGCAACTCTCTGGAACAGGAGTAAGGATAAAAGTAGTACACACAAAAAAAAAAAAAATCCAGGAAAGACTTTGATATCCTTACTGCAGTGGGAAGCTGTAACTCTCACGTTCTAGAAGGGAAATGTTCATTACCCAGCTGACAGCCTCTCAGCTTTCAAAAAAATGCAAAGCCCTGCAGTTACGCACTGTCCTCTGGTTTCTGAAGTTCCCCCTCGTGGTTACTTTCATTTTTACACATTGTAGAGAGAAGTGCAGTGCTTTGTAAACCTAGCGAATAGGACTTAAAACAAGTGAGAAAACTGAAGGACTTCCCCAAGCAATTGCTATGAACTATTGACAGATGTGTTCTCACAGGCTGGCTCTGAAGGGCTGGCTGTTAGATTTGGCCTCCCTGCTGTGCAAAACCTGCAGCACTGACAGATTCCAGTGGGACCATGAGCACTTCCCTGCAGCAGCGAGACTCCTAACAGGGCAGAAAATAATTTCTCAGACCTGATCAATGGGTACGTCCACCCTTGTGTGTTCGTCCTCTTTTACTTCCTGGGCATCTCGCATCTCCTTCCAAGGCTCTCTGGTTTTATAAACACTTTCTTCTGTGAGGAGAAGAAAAGAAAAAAGCTGTTCAATGGGTATGGCAGATAGCCACAGCCTTGTCTTGCTGAGGCTACAGAAAGGTCCTCCTCCATGCCCAGATGAGGAGAGGAAAGAAGCAGAAATACAGAAGTTATTGGATGCATCACTGCTTTCTTTCAGTGCATCTGCAGGTATTTTGTCCTTTAGCATCAAACTAAACCCAGTCTTCCTCTACACCTATAGCAGTGTCCTTTACCTTGATCAGGCCAGTGCTGCACATTCCTGTAGCTCCTTCTGTTTTGTCCTGCACGGACAGGTTTAGCATGGAAAATGGACTCTTCCTCTTTGAGGCGAGATTTCCTGGCTTGCCTTTGCAGTTGTGGAAAAGCAGCTGGGATCTTGTCTTTCTCTGCAGCTCCTATGGTCTGCACCCCGCGACTGTCCAGCTGAAAGCATTTGTCACACACTTCTGATAGGCCTTCTTGATAAAACAGTTTATAAAACAAGAGAAGTTTTGCAGGGCAATTCCCTAAACACTGCAACTTTCCCCTGTGACCCTTGATCCTGACTGGTACAAAGCTGTAACACTGCATTCTCTGACCGGGGTTTTAAGTTGATACTACAAATGAAACAGATACAGGGAACACATAAAACACTTTTTGCAGTCACTACTACCTGTTGAGGTGGTTCAGCAAGAGCAGAGTCACCAGCTCTGTCCCAGGAGGGGGCACAGAGTTCACCAAACTGAAAACAAACAAAAAAAAGGAAACAAATTTTAAAAGCAAATAGCACAGATAGCACGGATGCACATTTCAATGGACAGTCTAGGACAGCCCAGCTGCTGTATCTGTAGTCTCTGTTGGGCAGTGAGCACAGTGAGCAGGAAAGATATCCTAGCTCCAGGATGAATTCTCCCTGCCCATCAGCCAAAAAGGAAAAGAGGTAAGCAAGGCCACCTTAAGGAGTTTTTCTTCAGGCAGTGAGATTTAATTCAAGTGTGATCTGGCCACGTAGCTGTCTCTAGCTCCTCTCCTTTGGAGAGATGCTGTAGCCATGGCAATTGGGAAGGGAGATTGCTGTACACATCCACTGCTCATGGCGGGATGCCTGCACAAAAGCAACTGTGATCGTAGCACAAACAGTCCCGTGCCAGCTGAGCCACCTACCCTTCTGCGGTATTTTTTGCGCCTGCTATTTGGGTTGTTCCTGTAACAAAGAAGAGGCAGATTCTCAGCATCAGGCAGAAGTCAGCTGTAGGAGGACACGATCTCGCCTTTTCCCGTAAGAAAGGGCCCCCGGAGGTGTTTTTTCTCAGCACAGGTAGAGCACGCTCCGCAGCAGCACACATTCCTGTTATATTGCGCTGCCCACAACAGGCCTGTGACATTCAGTGCCCTAATGGGCAGGTGCTCCTCAGTGCTTGATGAACACTTCACTGAGAAACAACCAAACCCCTTGCTTTCTCCAGCACTGAGCTCTGGATTTCAGGGGCTAACCCTTACACCGAAAGCTTTGAAAACACATTCTTTCTTCCTAAACTTCCAACACATGGAGGAAAACTCAAGCCTCAAAGCCGACAGCACTGAACAAGAGGGCTACAAAAAGGATGGCTTTAGCTGAAGACCACCAGGGAGAGGATTCTTTAAACCATTTAGCCACAGCCTACGTACCACAGCGTCTTGTACACAGAATCCTGGGGCACCAGCAGCTCAAAGTAAGGCAGTTTTTTGTACTCCTCATTTCCCACTGCCACATAGTAATTGCCATTCACCAGCTCCTCCCCGCCAGACACCTGGGTTCCGTCCAGCCTGCAGAGCCTCGAGGAAGAGACAGCAAAGGCTTCAGAGCTGTCACAAGACTGTGAACAAGCCCTCAGCGTGGAAGCAAATATGTGCAAACAGGAGCGAGACAAGTCAGAGAGCATCAATCAGTATTACTCCAAGGAAGTACACCGAAATACTACACCCAGTGATCAGCAAGATGCAGTAGATCTCGGCTTTCTCCTTGGGTGTCAGTAAATAGACGTATGAGGGGAAGGTAGGCTGTATTTGAATCATAGAATCATTTGTTGGATAAAAGCCCCTCTTCTGTAGACATAAAATCCTTTTTATGCTATGCTTTACTGTTTGCTTATTGCTTTTTCACCAGACCACCAGCAACATCAGCTCTCCTAAGAAAGCACTCAGGACATTGGGGTTATCTCCGAATTAAAGATGGGAAAACCTGAAAAGCAAATGAGTTTGCAAAAGCAGATTAGAAGTGGCCATCTGGATTCCCAGTCCTCTGTGCTAACCAGAGCTGCTTATGTTCTGGACATAGGGAAAGGGGAGCGAGCAGTGCCTTATCTGGATACCCACTTGTTAACAGCTCCGCTGCGCAGGTCGGCTTTCTCTGTCAGCGTGGCCAGGAGCGCATCCCACTGCTGTGGGGTGCTCTGGGAGAGCAGCAGTGGGAAAGGAGGGCTCAGCAAATCCCCGTTCCGGAAAACACTGCAGTAGAAACAACCCAGAGCATGCAATGAGCCAGTATTCCTGTGGCTGTGGAAGGTGGGGAAAAAAGCCAGCCACTGGTGCCTGGACAATATTTACAACAAATAATTCTGGTAGAAGCTGGGAATTGCCCCTGTGGGGCAGCATTCCCAGGATCTCACAGAGAAATTCCCTCCTCCAGCCTCCAAAAACATTCCCAGAGCCCCACCAAGGAGAAAACACGGAGGCACTCACTGTATCATGCAGGGCAGGTGGGTGTGCTTCTGCCATCGCACCAAGACGTTCGACTTCCAGGGAGCTACAGTGCGGAACTAGAGACCGAGTTCAGTGCACAAGAACAGCGACAGCCCTGGCACCGAGCCTCCCAGGGCTGTTCCCTTTTCTCCGTCCGGAGCTGCCTGCCCTGGGACACTGCCTGCCCTGCCTTGACACTTGCTGCTGCTAGGTGGGGTTTGTTGTCAGCAACGCCAAGGCTGGAGAGGCTCTTCACATAGCTGAGCACATTCCAAAATTGCCAGCGAACCTCTGAGCACAGATCCTTCCCCTGCGCCATTAAGGGGGGGCGGAAGGTACACAGCAGCAGCCCCAGCGCTGTCTCACGTGTCCTACCGATTGCCGCGGCGCTTTTGCCTGATCTCCACAGGCACCTCGCAGCCTTAAATCTCAGCTTCAGTTTCATCAGTGCCAGCCCTAATGTCCCTCACACCTCCCTGCTCGTTCTGCGCTCCCACCTGCCCCTGCTCAGCTCGGGGACTCACCTGCAGACCGTCACCGTTCCTCATCCCACGGAGCTCCTTCCTTCCGTGATTTAAATACCTGTGAGAACAAGACGACAATGTTGCCACCTACCAACTGGGCTGGGACTGGCTAAAGAGCAGTGAGCAAATGTCGGCCTGCTCTGCCTTGGAGCATCGCCACCAGATGCGTGGGTCGCTTATTTGGGTCACTTCTGAAACAATGGTCCGGGTGCCTCACCTCATGGTCTCCCAGAACTTCAGCCTAAATTAAAGTCTGCTACATTTAAGAAATTCCCAGCCAAATACCAACCATTTCAGATTCCCATGCTAAAGACACCCAGAACATTTTATTCCTTTGTGTTAATCACTGATCAAGGCTCCAAGGGCCAACTGCTGTTAATGCATCCTGGATGCCTCCTCAACAAAATGCAGTATACACCCAGGGAGCCAAATTCATGGGGCACACCCCCACACCACACACAACCCCCGAATCAAGTGATATATCATGGAACATCTTTAGCCCTCTGTATTTCAGGGTGAACCAAACCAGCTCTAATTCAAGGCTTAGAAGACAAAAAACCCCTCCATCAAACCAAAGCAAAAGTATTTGTCAGTGGAGACAGCGCGACTGCCAGCTCTGCCAAGGAAGCGGGCAGCAGAACCTCCCACATGCCACGAAATAGGGTGCACGGGAGGCAGAGCGGCACCGATCACAACATCCTGCCAGAGAACGCGTGCCTCCCCTAACGTGTTTTCTTCTGAGAGTCAAGTGACCTTATCAGGAATATTTGCATTTTCCAAGTGAACTGGAATGTAGGAAAAGAAACTAACTGGTCTCTCTTTTTTGCTGGGTTTGTACCCCTCTTACCTCTTTTTTCCATTCACACCCCGAAACATTCCCCACAGAGGTGATCTAAAGCTGTTTACCAACCCCAGAGACCAAAGGGCCGTCTACTCACTCGAGCCTTTTGAACTTTTCAAAGCCCGCAGCCACGTACTGGCACCCGTCCCGCAGGTCCCCCAGCTCAGCGACGCGATGGCCGTGCCTGGGTGTGTAGAGGTTCCTCACAGCCAAGGGTGCGCAAATGCTCTTGGTCAACTCATTCAGAAATGCCTCAAAGGTCAGGAACCGCCGCTGGTTCACTACAACCTTCCTCCCGGGGAAGAAGGGGTCACCATTGCGATAAACCACCACGTTCTTGGCTGGAGGTGCCAGGGCTAAGCCACAGGAGCTCATCCCCTGTGGGTCAAGCGAGCCCCGCTGACCACCGAGGCAAAGAGACCACCGTGGGGTGCGGAGGAGCGCCCCGGCCAGCCTCCTGCCGAGCCCAAACCCTTCCGACCAGCCACCCTCACGCTCTGCCGTCCCTCCCCAGCGCAGTCTGGTGCGACGGGCTGTCTCCATGGACGCAGGCCCAGCAGGAGGAAGGTGTGGGCCCATCTGGAGGCCACATCAAACAACCTGCAGAGCACTTTCGTATTGGAGAACCAGGAACCACACGGCTCTTTAACCGTCAAATGCCAAGTACTGTGAGCTCCCTCACCAGCCGCTGCAGCCACCAGGCTCAGATTAACAAGCTTGGAGGTATGTGCCAGTATCTTTATGGCAGCAGCTCACATCCCATCCAGAGCGGCGCTGGCCAGAAGCTGTCACCCCCTTGCCATGGCTTGCTGCCTGCATGGGAAGCACAATGGCTTTCTGTCCTGTGCGTACTGGGCAAACATCCACGTCCCAGCAGACACACCACCCTTTGCACTGAACAGGTTGCCGTGGGTTGAAACGGGCCACGAACTCGCTTGGCTCTGCCCAGGAGAGGAAGGCAAGCCAGGCAGGAATAGACAGATTCAGAGACGAGCTTCAGGAAAGCTTTTTTATTCACAAACAAATCGCCATTATCAGGAACAGCAAGATACCTCTGCCCTATGGCAAGAGTGACCGCTCAGTCAGCCGGAACGCTCAGTCAGCGGGAACGTAGAGTGTGTGCACAGAAGACTCGGGGTCACAGTAGGGAACCGCAGCACCACGTGGAAAGGCCCTTTCGAACGCCATTAACTAGAGCAACGTATAGACAAAGCGCCAAACCCTGTACATCCTCACTTGCTCCCTCAAGCACCGCTCCAGGTGACTCGGCCACACAGAGAGATGTTACCACGGCCAGAGACGTGCAAGTCGGGAACCAAGCCTCATCTCCTGAAGGTCAGGTTTGCTGTGCCATCGCTGCCTGCCAGCTGCAGAGGAACGTTAGGAAACTCTCCTCCTAGCTTAGTACTTCAGCTGGGTGTTCCCCAAAGCCTACCCCGAGCGCTTGGAGATCCCCAATATTGCCGAGCTGCGACGTGCAGAGCCATCCCAAATACACAGCTCGGATACCGATACGGGTCACCCACAGTTCAGTGGAGAAGAGCTTATTCCTGCAGGTTCAAAGCACCTGCTGCCTTCAGGCACTGTAGTTCCACCACAAGCAGTCAGCTGGTCAGAAAGCACCTTCTGTAAGTGACACTCTTCCCAGCCTCGATTTTTCCCTAGGACCATCGAGCTCAGCCAACATAAATAGGGTTCCTGTGGAAGGAGGCCTCGCTGGGACTCCCTCCAGGACACGCAACAACCTCCCTGGCTTTGCAGTGACGTTTAATCCCTGCTTTGACCAAATACTCACATTTAAAAGAAATAAAAGGCTTTCTTGCCACATTCACCTTAAGTGGGAAACGTCAACCCACAGAACTGGAGTCCCCCTAAGCTGCTGCTGCCCCTGAGGTCACATCACGACTGCGATGCTGCAGCTCCGCTGCTTCTCCACGCCAACACGAGTGCCCCACGTGCTGGGGAATGCCCTCCTAAGGGTCAGGAGTCCCCAGCCTCTGTTTCAGCATCAAGTACTGCGAGAGAAAGAAAACCAAGCAGTAAGGATTAAATCCCAGAGACCTACAAGTAGGAAAGCACCCACCCTTGCAGCTTAGCCAGCAAAATCACTGCACTTGGCCAGAAGACGCCCAAGCCTCGCCCTTCAAGCAATGCGAACAGCAGCTCGCTGAGCTCGCCGGTGCCTAGGTATGTACCATGGCATTGTACAGACAGGATAAATGTCCCCGCAGCAGGCCAGGAGCAAAGCTCGGCACCAGATCTAAACAGCTCCTGTTTTCCTTCATCATTCCTTTTTTTTTTTTCCCCGCCCCGAGAAGGAAAAAAAAAGGGCACTGCCATCATCCAAACCAATCCTTGGGTAACCGAACCGTCACTGTTCAACCCCAGTCCCACCACAGACAGCACCACTCTGGCTGCAGATGGGCACTGGTCTGACCCCCTGGTTTGGAAGAGGCAGGGTCAGGCCCTTACGTTTTTACGGCTGACGATAGCTTGTTGCAACCACAGCAGCTCCATGATCAAGTGATTTCTGTAGGACTGGAGACCAGAACGAGTTCGAGGAAGCTCCTTTATGTCCTCAAGTGGGATTTCTGCAAGGAAACGGAAGAATAACCTATTATTAGAACAAAGATTCAGATTGCACCTACTGTCTCTCCGACACCGAGTTGTTCTAACCTCTCCAGGACATTCTCAAGGATTTGGTTCTCCCAGGCCCTACTGTACCCCTGGCACTCACCACCAGGTCACTCGGACCACGCAGGAGAGCGCACAGCCCCGGGCCACGCTGCACGCCGGCTCCCAACTCTTACCCGTGCAGGCTTCAAGGGACTCGGCCTCCAGGACAGCGCTGTCCCACACAGAGCACACGCTGCTCTTGTTCTGCCAACCCTCGCTGTCTGCTGGGGCACTGCACACCTTTTCGGTGCATTTATCGGCATCAGCCCCGAGATTTGAGGGGCTCACTACATTGCCTTCGCCCGCGGAGCTCAGTTCTTTCTCGCTTTGCAGCTGGGCTGTAGGTTTCACGCTGCTGCAGCCGCAGTCCCGTTCTGGTTCAGAGGCGCCCAGCTCCTCCTGTGGTTTTTCTGCGCTGGCCTCGTCACTCAGTACAGCCTCCCATGGACCTGAAGGTTTCCCTTGTGTTGACTTCTAAAGGGGCAACGTGTGAGAGATTAAACAAATATAAAAGAAAACATAAAGATCTGAAAGGTGGCTCTGCTGTGGGCCAGAGGCTCTGTCCCAGCCAAAGATCTGCCGTTAGCAGCGCTCCTGCTGCCACACCGACATGCTCTGGTTTGAGCCATCGAGACTTTTTAAAGGCATCTTCCTCCAGAAGTGGCAAAAACATTAGAGAGCAGCAAAAACATTAGAGAGCGGTGCTCAGCTGCCGCAGGCGGGTCCGACCGTTCAGTACGGCCCAGGGGCAAGACCCGCAGGAGCCACCTGCGCAGGTCAGGCATTTGACTTTGCCCAGAGGAAGAAATCCTGCCAGGGCCTCAGGAGCACAAGTCAAGGAGAGTCTTACAGGCCTCGGCCATGTAATTATTGTTTTTAATTTGGTAGAATTACAGGTTCCTGGGACTATGCCGCAAAAGCATCGTCTGC